AAAGCAGGATTCTGACTCTCCTTAAACTCTACCCTTATGACCTAACATTTTTTTCTAAATTGTTATAAAGTCTCCTCAGAGGGTTGGGGGATGGGATTTTGGGTGCTGATTGGCAGAGGGCGCTATTGCATCTCCCTGCTCCAGTGAAGAAGCAGGAGACCTCAAACCAAAGGAGAGAGTCACACATGGAGGCACTCCAGAGGCTGGTAGATTTGAACAGATAATCTCTTGATCCACAGAAACAGATGGGCTGACACCTGAGAGTCTTTAGAAGCATGATGGATAGGCAGCAAGAGACCCAATGCTATTGTTTCTTGGTAACAAACAATCCAATACATCAACAAGTGTATATTTCCATTGTCCCTTCTCACCCATCCCTCCTAACCCCCTGCTCCTTAAAATGATACTATGACTTTTTATGTCCTAACCTTTGTACTCCTGTATCCCCTTGCTTCTCTCTAAATAGCCCTTGATTTCATCTGATTCAAAAGATCTTAGATGTGGTTGCACAACAATATGAATATCTGCTTATTGCCACAAAACTTAAAATGAAGCTATCTCCATTTAAACCACCTTTAAGTGTAAAGTATATATCTGGTACTGAGGACTGAACTCAGTGCCACTGAGCTACATCCCCAGCTCGCTCTCACGCTCTCTCTCTCTCTCTCTCTCTCTCTCTCTCTCTCTCTCTCTCTTCTGAGTCTCCCCTAAATTGCACTACCTGGCTTTGAATTTTTGTTCCTCCTACCGCAGCTTCCTTAGTAACTAGGTTGTACTTTAGCTTAGGTTGTACATTACCATGCCTGGCTCATGTCTGTACAATTTGCCACAATTTAAAAAATAATATAAGACAAACCCAAGGAAGAAAAAAATGTTTGGGACCACCAGTGTGATGGTCCAAGCCTATAATCCCAGCCCTTGAGAACCTGAGGCAGGAGGATTGCACATGAAACAGGCTGGCTAGCCTGAGCTACATAGCAAAACCCTGACTAAAAAAAAAGTTCAGAATGACCTTAATGCCTTGCCACATCTTACTCTTTCTCGGTCCAGGAGTGCTGGCAATCCTACATTTTCATAAAAGCTTCTCAGATGATTAGAACTGCCTATGTAAATTTGTAGTTACTGACTCCCACCTTCTTCTCTTTCCCTGACAGCTTTTTGTTTATTAATTTCAGAGACAAAAGCTGAGCAGTCCACTTTGTGATGGACAGACCACCCACCTACACACACACAAAGATCTGCTTCTGATCCTGTCCACCCTTACACACTGTTCGAAACCATTTTACTTCTTTTTATTTTTTATTTTTTGTCTTTTTCCTTTTTATCGGTACCGGGGATCGAACCCATGACCCCCTGCTTGCAAGGCAGGTGCTTATGCTGCTGAGCTAAATCCCCAGCCCCAAAACCATTTTACTTCTTATTTAGCACTTTCCTGAGTTTCTATAAACACCTTCCTTTCCTTCTTTGACTCTTTGAAGCTGGGGGCTAGCAAATGTTTTTTTGAAAACTTACTATCAACTAAAAATTTCTAGCTTTGCAAGTTATGGGGTCTCTGTGGCAGCTACTCTATTGCTAGGGAGAAAGCACATATTTAAGTGAATATTTAAGTGAATGACCTTGTCTATGTTCCAATAACCCAGGCCATGGGGGATTTACACCACAGGTAGTGATTTAAGGTACAATCCTTTCTTCCTGCTTCCATCTCAACGTGGCCCACCAGATCTTGGCTACAGCCTTGTTCTCCAGTTTCTAGATCTTGGATATATCTCTGAGAGTACTTACTGACTTGACAGGAAAATTAACAAAGAGCTGAATACTTAAATGAGTTATTTTTAAAACTAATACTTAAAATTTTTTTCCAAAAACCCAAAACTTTATATCTTTAATGGTTTTTGGTAGATTCATGTATAAATGCAAATCGCCACATGAATGAGAAGACCATATTTGTGTAAAATATTTTAGAACAAAATTAATCCCTAGGAAATTTCTTTTCTTTTCTTTTCTTTCTTTCGTTCTTTTGACAGAGTCTCACTCTGTAATTTAGACTGGCTTTGAATTCATTATGCAGGCAAGAATAGCTTCAAACTCATGGAGATTCTTCTGCTTCAACCTCCCAAGCACTGGGATCACAGACATTTGCTAGCACACCCAGCTCTGGAATTTTCTTTATTTTTCATATCATATTGATGTATTGCCTCGAACATCTGGTATTCTCTGCTCACATGATCTCATGTCAGACTTGGTGTTTTTGGTTTGATTTGGTTTGTTTGAGACAGGTGCTCACTATGTAGCCCAGACTGGACTCAAATTTGCAAAGACCCTCCTGCCTCAGCCTCCCCATTGCTGGGGTTACAGGTATGCAGCATCATGAACAGATAAGACTTCTTTGTGCTTTTTAAGACCTCTTTGTGCTTTAAAATGCATCTTCTTGGGGCTGGGGATTTAGCTCAGGGGCATAAGCACCTGCCTTGCAAGCAGGCAGTCGTGAGTTCGATCCCCAGTACTGATAATAAAGAAAAAGAAAAAAAAAAAAAAATGCGTCTCCTCAAGCCTGCATACTAACTGTTTCAGCCTCAAGACCTTCCCAGGGAATTGTTACCCAGTACCTCAGAAAATTGTCACTACCTTGACAATGTACTCATTTGTGAAAATGGCTGTCCTCCTGGCCATACACTGGAACCAGACAGACCTGGCCACATGTACCTGCAATCTAGACTAGACAACTCTAGCAGGCCACCAAGCACTTGCCAAAAACTGTGAGCATAACTTGTGGGTTTACTTTTTCCGTTTTATTTTTGGTCTTGTGTGTTTACTTTGGATCTTTTTTTTTTTTTTTTTTTTTGTCTTTTTCGTTTTTACGGGTACCAGGGATCGAACTCACGACTGCCTACTTGCAAGGCAGGCACTTATGCCGCTGAGCTAAATCCCCAGCCCCTTTGTGTGTTTACTTTGAAGTTCTTCAGGAAGACAGTATGTAGTTGATATGGCTGAAATTTTTGGAAACTGAGTGTATGTAATATATATTCTCTAGTTTGTCTTTCAAACCTCTGGTATCATATACTCAAATTTACCACTTCCCTGAGCCATTGAAGGTGATGAAAAACCAAAGAAAAAATCAGAAACCTGATGGTAATCAGACTGTGAGAATCTATGTTCATCCACTTGGTCCTAGTTTTTTTCCAAAACCAAACATGATTTTAAGCATTTTAGGCTCAGGGCCCTATTTTTCTGTTAACTGAAAATTGACTATGTTTTTAATCCATGCTGAGCTGTTAAGATACCTATGTGAAGCTGGGCATGGTGGCATGTGTCTGTAATCCCAGCCCTTAAGAGGCTGAGGCAATTCAAGGCCAGCCTAGGCTACATAGTGAGTTCTAGTCCACTTTGTTTTTTTTGGTTTTTTTCGAACTCATGGCCTTGCACTTGCCAGGCAGGCGCTTATACTGTTGAGCTAAATCCCCAGCCCCTCTAGTCCATTTTGAACTGCACAGTGAGAACCTGTCTCTCAAAAAAAAAAAAAAAAAAAAAAAGATTCCTGTGGCTGGAGATGTAGCTCAGCAAGGGCCTGGGCTGAATTCCCAGCATACTCCCACCAAAAAAATATTTCTCTGGTACTTCCCCCCACCACACACACAAAAAATACTTTCTTATCTAGTCTCTCAATTTCAAGGTTGGAGATAAAGGAAAGTAGGTGATTATAAGACAATATGCAGTGGGAAAAACTATGTAGCCCAGGCTAGTTTTAAACTCACAATCCTACTCAGCCTCCCAAGTGCTAGAATTACAGGCATTTGCTTATTTCATTGCCCAGTGGAGAAACCAGCACTACAGAAGCTGTGTAATTTACTCAAGGTCATAGGGGAGGTCTGATAGTAACACTGTTATACCTAAGTTTCCTTTTTTGTTTCTATTATAATCCATTCCCGGACCCCTCTGCTGCTCTTTGAGTAGTGGTTCCTGGGGCATCTCAGTGCCATAAAGTTAGACACCTACTTCAACAGAATAAACCCATATAGGGTCGGGGTCAGCATGACCTCCATTTCCTATTGTGAAATCTGAGCTAGCTTTGTTGCCCAGTTGGGAGACAAGAGCTTCCCTATTAATACACAAGTCCACATGCCAAACCTTATACACAAAAGCTAAGAATGTGGCCTAGGGGAGGAGGTGGGTTACATGATAGCTGTCTGGACTTGGAGTCCTTTCCCTTTGTCCAGGTCCTGAAAAAGATAAATTCCTAGGGGTGGGGATAAAAATGAGATATTTACATGCCTAGTATTTATTTATTTCTATCTTGCAGTGGTAGAGATTGAATCCAGGATTTCATGCATGCTAGGCAGGTACTCTATTACTAAACTATAGCCCCAGCTCCAACATACATTGTTTAGCAGGAGAAAGGGGGGGTCTAGAAATCAAAATCAGGGCCCTTTACCACTGGGGTACACTGCAACCTTTTAAAAAATTATTTCAAGGGGCTGGGGATTTAGCTCAGCGGCATAAGTGCCTGCCTTGCAAGCAGGCAGTTGTGAGTTCGATCCCTGGTACCGATAAAAAGGAAAAAGACAAAAAAAAAAAAACTCTCATTATTTCGGGGTTGGGGATTTAGCTCAGCGGCATAAGCACCTGCCTCGTAAGCAGGCAGTCGTAAGTTCGATTCCTGGTACCGATAAAAAAACAAAGACAAAAAAAAAATTATTTCAAGATAAGACCTTGCTAAGTTGTCCAGGCTGGGCTCTAACTTGCCATCCTCCTGTCTCAGCCTCCTGAGATAGTTGGACTTACAAGTGTGCACAAGTACATCTTGCCCCAGCATGTCTTTAAGAAAGAAAATATGTGCCATTGCGAGGCACATATACCAGCATGTGGTTATGTGCAAAAATGTATGTTGGTATATACATGTGTGTTCTGTGTACCAATGAGTAGTATATATGTCAAAACATGTTTGGAATGCAGAGAGGGAGATCTGTCTGGGTAGATCAACCCCCCATCTCTCTAATACTCACATCAGCTGCTTTCTTCTCTGCTAGCTCCAGCTTCTCCTGGGCATCCTTCAAAGCTTCAGAATATTTGTCTAGTTCATCTTCTGTCCCTTTCAGCTTCTTCTGCATGGCTGCTAGCTCATCCTCCAGCTATAAGAGCCCCAAGAGTCACATACAAAAACATACATATACAACCATGTGAACTTAGACTCTTGTAGACCCCTGAGTCCAGTCTTCCCAGCCACATTCTGCCCAGTGCTGCAGGCATCATGTTATGGCTTCAACCCATGACCCTTTAATCTCTGATGTTGATATGACCAAGCCAACGTAAGTCCTTATCCAGGACCGTTGGGTGGGAAATATCTAAGGGTATAGATATCTGTGATTCTATTTAAAAGAGAAGGTATATGCTAAACTCTTACCTTGTCCTTTAGAGGTCAGGGGTTCTTCTAAATCATGGTCCACTTCAGATGCACTGTTGCCCAGAAGGGGCCATTGACTTTCCCAAGGTCACATAGATAGTCTGGGGTGAGTACCCTAGATTTCTCTAATCCACTAAGACTGGGGAGTCCCTCCACCCAAAGTAGTTGCTGATATTCGTGGTTTTCCTGTTTAGTGAAAACTCCCTTCTATCTCATGGTCTCATTCGACAGCATGTGAGAGAGACCAGTGCCAGCACCTACCTGTTTACTTCTTTCTTCAGCCTGTTTCTGTTCTGCTTCAGCCTGTTCTGCCCTATCCAGAGCATTCTCCTTGTCCAGCTTCAGCATCTGCATCTTTTTTTTGATGGCCTCCATCATGGACAATGGCTGCTGGTGGGTTCACCTGTGAATGCTGAAGAACTGGAGAGCAAGGTAATAGGGGCCGTGCCCTGTGTGTCCAGGAGTTCCTAGGCTTGAGCCTTTATCTGTGCCCCAGCTCCACCTCTCATTCCAAATATGGTCCTCTCTACCCCATCATTGTTTTCCCAGGAGAACACAGGGTGAGACACATTGATGGACTGATATCACCAGCTGAAAAAAAAAGCGGGGGAACAGCTGAGGCTGATTTTAGACAAGAGAAAGTAGGGGAGGGGAGAGGTTCTCCTGCCCCTGAAACTTACCACTCACTCATTCTATGCAGCTCTCTGGGTGTTGGAAAATGCAGAGAGACAGTGATCAGCCTGGGTGATATAGTAAGACTGCACCTCAGAAACAAAGTGCAGGGACAGGAGAGGGGAAAACATTGAAAAGGGAAGGGTACTTGGCAATTCTAGAATAACATTTTTCATCCAGAAGGTCCCGGGTGCCCTTCAGCTCCCTCCTTGCTTTCCTCTAGACTGTGTTGGATGCTGATCAGACTTCATGGATTGAGTTTAATCTCCTGATTTCAGAGAGCTTGAGCAACAGTGATGAAAGGGAGGTCAATCATGATCCTTGACAATTCCTCCAGATCCCCAGATCAAATTGCTGTACTATTTTGGGAGTCTCTAATTGGCAGGGAGATACCATTCCTTTGTCCTAAGAGCCATAGGCATAGAGTAAGAGGATAGGATTGGGATCTGGAAGGCAATCCCAGTAAATGAATTATGGGGTTGGGGGAGTAATCCACACAAGATCATGCTATCTGTTCCCTCATAGTGATCTTAAAATAGAACTTTTCTACCACGTGTACCATGGTTATGTGGTTCTACACTTTATTTTCTTTCTTATTAGCAACCTTGCCTATGAAACCACCACCCACCCCATCACTATCATCATAGCCATCATCACCACCTCACTTATTCCAATCTAGTTCCAGGTCATGTTCATTTTTTCCATTTGGTGCTTTGTTATTGACAGGTGGCCAGTAATCCCCATCCACCAGTGCCATACACTCCATAATAAGTCAGGGGAGCAGTGGGCACCACTCAAGGTAACCAGAGCTATCAGGGAACAATCTAAATGATGTAACTAGTCATAATGTCAAGGCTAGTCAGTGTAAGCCTCAGCAATATGGGAACTAAGACACGCATGGGTCAGAGGAAAGAACTGAGCTGGCGTCCAACAGAGAGCTTCTAGTCATAGCTTAGTAGTAGTAGATTACTACTGGCAGATCAGGTAGATGGAACACTGGGTGACTCATAAAGGGAAGCAGGGAAATCAAAGACCCCTACCATGGAGGCTAAGCAGTGGAAAGGAACTGGGAACAGTGGAAGGCCTTCAAGAGAGGAGGCAATGAATAAGGGGAAGATAATGGGGAAAAATTATGAGAAGAGAAGGGGAGACATATTCTTTCTACAATAAGGGAACAAAATAGAAATTCAATCCCCAAATTCTAACTCCCACTCCCTTACCAGTCCTTCAGGTTAAGATCAAAATCCACATTAGGTTGTTGCTACTGGTCCTTTGGTGAGGGGCGATCCTGGAAAGAAGTGGTTTGGTAAAAAACGACAAGGGTCCCAGAGCCCTTGAGTTTGAGGTAGAAGAGCTGTGGTGCTGAATGACCTACTACTGTAAGAATATGTTTGACATTTAGTTGGTTCCTAATTAAACAACCCAATATCAAACATATCACACAGAAGCAGGCAGGTGAATTTGGTGGTCATCTCCTTCCTTCTCATTGCCAAGAAAGGCACTGGCAGAGACACCAGGGGCCACTCCTGTCTACAGGGCACCACCTGCTTGGTGGGCACTGATTCCTGCCTTCCCCTCTTACTCATCTGCCCTCCGTGCCATCCCTGCCACCACGTCTCTTGCCCTCATGCTGGCCTCCGTGGGTTATGTTGGCCTAGAGCAGGATGAGTCCTGGGCAGAGCTCCACATCCGGGCATCTGTCATTCCCCAAAGCTCCTGAACGAAGCTTTGCCCCCTTATGTCATGGCCTCAGTGCCCAGAGGATCAGCTGTGTCAGCAGCTTCTCATCAGCTTTGCCACCTGCTGTCTTCAGTGCCATTCCAGCAGCCCCAAGGCTTTCCGGGCATGGGGGTGGGAGGCTTGCATATCCTGCTTTACTTTTCCAACAGACACCTAACTTTACCAAGTACCCTCTCCCATTTCAGCACCCTCCTGCCCTTTGGTGCTACCAATAAGCAGTGTGGGAAGTTTCCAGGATGCTAACTTTCTTCTCTCTGCTATCTTGCCCCTTCTCACCTTTTCCCCATGTCCTCCAGACATCCTCTGTACGTACGGTCACTGTCAGATGTGCAGTGCAAAAGAGTGAGCTGTTTCTTTTTTTTTTTTTTAATTTTATTTAAAAGGAAAAAGAGAAAAAACAAAACAAAACAAAGCGGTGCAAGGGTACAAGTAATACAGAACTACAAAAAAACAAAAAAAACCAAACAACAACAACAACAAAAAAAAACAGTAAGAAATCACCAGTTAATAGATTACATATTATCATCTTAGAGATAGTTGGAGTGAGCTGTTTCTTAAGCAGACTCTAGTCTGGCTTCAGAAGACCTGTGGTCTCTTCAGCCTGGCAGAATTGAAACTTAAGGCTTCAGACCCAGGGTGAGAGAGGGAACCCCCTCTACCAGAAAGTTGTCTGCAGTCTTTAGGACTTCCCTGCTCTCCTGGGGCTTTCTACAAGAACTTCTCAAGGGGTTGCGGATATAGCTCAATGGTGCAGCGCCTGCCTCGCAAGCACAAGGTCCTGAGTTCAATTCCCGATACCTCCCCCAGTCCCAAAATACTAACAAAAAACCCAAGAACTTCCTGGCTGGCATCTCCAAGGGTCTTCCCTCATAGGATATCAGCCTGATTCCCTTCTCAGGGGTTTTACCTTTGGAGAGAATTGGGTCTGTGGATGTCAGGTGGTAGGCAGATGCTTCTCTCCACTGTGACCGAAAGGGGCCCAAGTTATAGCTGTGCTGGAGGCTGGGGGCTCCACTGGAAGTGTGGGGTGGGAGAGGACATTGCTTCAGCCTCAGGCCTGTTCCCTGTGTCCTTGTTTCCATTAATCCTGATGCCATCCTCCCCCCATACAGCAACTCCACACTGACCTTGATCTAGATCAATAGCTTGTCCCAAGCCCAGTCAGTCCCTGTTGTGTGGCTCTTTCCTTCCAGGAAAAGAGTAACAAATGGGCATACAGGATCCAAGGTAGGATCCTGTGGTGGTGTAGTATCTTTGTTTCTGTAGTCTGCAAAGTGTGTGTGTGTGTGTGTGTAATTATTACCTCCTTATCTTCCCTTCTTATCCTTAACTCAAGTTGTTCTTCCCTTCTCTGAGAACTTGGCCACACTGGGGGACTAGAGGTTGCAAGAAAAGAGGCTGCAAAAGAGCCCAGCAGGAACTGAAAAGACTCTGGTGTTTGGAGCACTTGGGGAACAGAGGCAGACTGGGAGTATCAGTGTGGAGAGCAGCAGCTCTCTTGGAAGGCGACTCCAAATGACATAAACATACAGAAACATCACAAGGCCTCTGATGAAAGCCCGTCAGCTCTCCTGGAAGTGCTTCTTAGGCAGCCATTTCAAGTAGCACTGAGGCCTCTGAGCCGCAGAACCGGATAAGGCATCAGCCACCGAGGGGAAGAGGGGCTGGGTGAGTGCAGTGAGGTGATGTGATGAGAGCAGACAGAATATGCAGAGAGGGCCAGCAAAGATGGGCTCTGCAGGGGACCAACCTGCCAATACTGGAGCCAGCTTGGGAGTGATAAGCCCTGGGGTAAAGGGCCAAGGTCAGGAATCAGGCAGAAGGGATGGGGCATTCTCTGGGTCCAAATGAACACAGGAAAGAGGGAGAGAGAGATAGAGGTTGGTGAGCAAGTGCAGTTGGAGGTAGGGGGCCTCCAGGTAAATGTAGGAAAAATAAGGGGAAAGATATCATAGGGGTAGGAAAACATTACTATGGGTCACCACAATGGGCATTATGTGCAGCTCTCTGCTATATGCTTGATTTAATATCACAGAAACTCAGTGAGGTAGGCATTATCTATAGTTTACATAGAAGGAACTATAACCCAGAAAATTAAATTAACTCAAAGAAGGCCTACAACCAGTAAGTAAGCAACAGAGCCAGGACTGAAACCCAGTCTGCTCAGGATTGAAGCTGTTCTCTTCATCGCAGGCTATTCTGCTTGTGAATAAGCAGTAGAAGGTGGCCTGAGAGACAAACAAAAGGGAAGATGGGGGGGGGGGGGAAGCTGGGGATTTAGCTCAGCGGCATAAGCGCCTGCCTTGCAAGTAGGCAGTCATGAGTTCGATCCCTGGTACCAATAAAAAAATGAAAAAGACCAAAACAACAAAAAAAAGGGAAGATGAAAGAAGGGAAGTGAGATGGTCCCAATCTTTGGGGATGAGAGTGCAGGAAAACAGAGGTGCTAGGAATCAAGATCAGGACCTCATACTTGCCAGGCAGGCGCTGCACCCCTGAGCTAAATCCTCTTAGGTTCATGGTCAAATCTAGGCCATGTGAGTATAGTTTTGTTTTCTATAAAATACACTGTTAGGCATGGGGTTACATTGTGCATGCTGGGGTTATAGGTATGTGCCACCACGCCTGCTGACCCTCATCTTTAGTCAGTAACTACTTGTAAGTTCTTACTCCAAAGAAGACAAAAAGCTTGTAGCTGCTGAGGCAGGGAGGTTTGTTTGGTTTTTTTTTTTTTTTTTTTTTTTTGCCTTTTTCCTTTTTAGTGGTATGGGGGACCAAACTCACAACTGTCTGCTTGCAAGGCAGGCCCTTATGCTGCTAAGCTAAATCCCCAGCCCCAAGGCAGGGAGGTTTTAAATGGTAATGGCAGATACCTTTTCTCTCTTTTTTGAGACAGGCACTCACTATGATGGCTTAAAGTGGGCTTGAACTCACTATGTAATCTAGGCTGGCTTTGAATTCATGGGGATCCTCCAGCCTCAGCCTTCTGAGTAATAAGATTACAGACAGGGTCTATATAGTTCAGGCTAGACTTGAATAGACTTGAACTCACTGAGTAGCCTAGGCTGGTCTCCAAATTGTGGTGAACCTCCTACCTCATATTTCTTTTTGTATCTGGTGCCTCTCAGTACTCCCAAGCAGAAAGTTTAGGGGTAGAAGGAAGAAGCATTGACAGCTATGTGATACAAAGTGTTTCAGGAGGAGATGGAGACAAATTGGAGGGAGGAGAGAATGAAGGGTACATCACGGTGGACAATGACCTTTGGGAGGCTGGGGGACAGGAAGAGAGACTATGGAGAGGTGACAGAGAGTAGGATTACATTGGGGACAACAGCCTGAGTCTGCAACTGTTACTGGCTGCTCCAGGTGTCCCCCTATCTAGTAGGGTTCCTTGTGGCCTATGGGATGCATATGAGCAACCAGCACTTATCAGTTTTGTCTTTTTCCTTTTTGTCAGTACCAGGGATCAAACAAGGCAGGTGCTTATGCCGCTGAGCTAAATCTCCAGCCCACACTTTTCAGTATTTTGAATGGCTCAGAGTAGACATGCTCTTTCCAGCATTTCCCACAAATGCTACTCCTTGTTTTTCATACTTCCTACATTACCTACCTGATGCCTGAAGGTAGCTGAGTTTACAACTCTACCACTTTCGTAGAACTAGGAATTCAGGCCCACGACAAAGACGTTTCCCCAAGGTTTCACAGTAATTGGATAATTCAAAGACTAAACTCTATGTCTCCTGATACTCAAGCTTGTAGGTTAATGGACATATTCAAAGCTATTTGTCTACACAGAAAAGATCTGTTTAGTGGTATGTAAAATCTAGAAAGTTAGGAACAAACTAGGGTTTAGGAGTGAGAGAATGGATCATGTGGTCTAAGTTTGATCCTTATTAACACATAACTTTATTTGTTAAACCAAAGCAAGATTTTCATATATAACACTGCATGTTCCTTCTATTGCTGACATCAACACTGCATATCTCAGTCTGACCACAAGGCGTCACTCTTGTTTTTCATGAATTGTTTCCTAAATGGCAAGGGGCTTGGTGAGAGTGAAGAGGTGAGAGTATCACATTGCTTTAAATCCGGGGCCCAGCTTGGTTTTGGAAGGATAGTTCAAGGTGGCAGAGGCTCAGCAAGGCTTCGTTAACAGGTCTGATGAGAATGAAAGAGCAGTGTCTCGAAGGCTGTCAGAGTCTCTCCACATAAAAAGCTTTGCCCATCTGGTTGAGTTCCTGCTGGTACTGCTGATGCTCCTTTTCAAATAGCTGGTGCAGGGCAGCTTGCCGGACCTGCAGGGGAGGACAGGACACAGTGGAGATAGCCCTCTGTTACTACTCTTTCTCCTCCTCTTCCTTGTTTGCTTTTCTATCACTTAGGCCTTCTTGGACCTGTTCTTAGCTATGACATAAAGTTAAGCTGTGGCAGAGGTTGAATCAGTGGAGCAGAAGCTTTTTAAGATTTTTCTCCATGGGTGGACCCTCATATTCACCAAATATTTTCTGAGAATATACCACACACCAGGAAATTTTTTTTTTTTTTTTGAGACAGGGTCTTGCTATGTAGTTTAGACTGGCCTTGAACTCGGTATGTAGCCTTGGCTGACCTCCTTCCTCAGCCTCTTGAGTGCTGGGATTATAGCGATGCACCACTACATCTGGCACTAGAAATCCTGCCAGGTACAGGATACAAAGATGGTGACATGACAGCAACTGGGATCCCAAGGAGATAAAAATGTATGGTGAGGCAGGTGTGCCAAGAGGCAATTTAAAAGATGCAAAGAACCACTTACTGAAAAGGACTTCGGCATTTCTAGTTAGTGTTGTCCCTGGTGTAATGGGGAAATGCATCAGAAGTGAAGGAGATGAGTAAGAATGATTGAGTCCGGGAGCTAAGAATCCTGACCAACAAAGGCACAGGTAACGAAGGGTGAGGCTCAGATGTCCTCCTCCAACTCACCACCAGCAGTTGTTTGTTAGCTAGCGCCAATTCTTGTTCCATGGTGGCCTGCATCCTTAGGATAGCATATGGGTTTCTTCTCTGGCTCAATGTCATCTGCCACATACAATGAGTATGTAACTTTTGCCACCTGCTCCAAGTATATACAGGAGGGAGTTAAACAGATTGGAGTTAGGAGTGGAGACAAAATCCTTATCAGTGAGGCTGCTTAGTTACCAAAACCCCGTGCTATTATCAGAAGGTTGCAAAATCCAGATGGGGATATAGCTCAGTGTGAGAGTGCTTGCCCAGCACACGGGAGGCCACTTCAATCCCCAGGTTGGAGGGTGGGAGGGAGCTTAATTAACTAAAGCTGATTTGGAACCTAATATATATTAAGTATGTCATTTATTCATTACAATAATGTGGCTGGGAATTTAGCTCAGTGGCATAAGTGCCTGCCTTGTAAGCGTGTGGTTGTGAGTTCGGTCCCCAGTGCCGATTTAAAAAAAAAAAAAAAAGCATAGGTTTTTGAGTTTTACATAATACTGACCAGAAAACTAAAAGTTGTGAGTTACCCAAGGTCACTTAATGGCAGACCTAGGTCTCATCCCACTGTCCCTAACCCTGTTTTACCTTTGAATAAAATTTTTTTTTTTTTTTGTGCCGGGGATTGAACTCAGGACCTCGAATTTGTCAAGCAAGCACTTATGGTGCTGAGCTAAACTCCAGCCAATATTTAACAACTTAACGGTAAAAGCTTAGCCCTGGCCCCATACTTCTCAACAAAGTTAGCAGTTTCTGTTACAGGTGTGTGCCAACTATGCCTTGATTATCTTTTTTACTTTTTATATGTACTCATGTTTTTGTTTTGTTTTTTGATACTAGAGATTAAACCCAGGGCTTCAGACATAAAGTGCTCTGCTAAAGATATAAAATCCAGCCTTTTGCTGTTGTCAAACACATTAGATTACAGTTATATAAACAGTGTTAGTGAACACTTTAGGCTTTTTACATTATTAGCACATAGAGATTTGCTTCAGTCAGGGTTATTTTTATTGTTATTTTAATTGAGACAGTGTCTTGCTGTTTAGGCAGGTCTTCAACTCACTATGTCGTCCAGGCGATCCTTGATCCTTGATTATTATTATTTTTTTTTTTGAAACAGGGTCTGTAGAGCCCGGCATGGTGGCTCATGCCTCTAATACTGGCACTCGGGAGGCAGAGGTGGGAGGATCGTTGTGAATTCGAGATCAGCCTGGGCTACAAAGTGAGCGCAAGGCCAGCCTGAACTGCATACTGAGATCCCGTCTCAAAAAAGACAGAAAAGAAAGAAAGAAAGAAACAGGGTCTGACTATGCAGTTTAGACTGACCATGAGCTCACTTTGTAGCCCAGGCTGGTCTCAAACTCGAAATGATTCTTCTGCCTCAGTCTCTTGAGTGCTGGGATTGTAAGCATGTGCCACTATGCTTGGTATCCTTGAACTCATAATGATCCTCCTACCTCAGCCTCCCAAATGCTGGGATTACAAGCACGTGATACGTGTCACTTGTTTTTTGAGACAATCTCACTATGTAGTTTAGGCTGATCTTGAATTCTATGTAGCCCAAGTTGATCTCAAACTCATAGAATCCTCTTACCTCAGTCTCCTGAATGCTGGAAATACGGAGCATGTACTACCACACCTAGCCTGCTCCATTCAGTTTAAAGCTCATAATATTTTGTGTAATTTAACCAGGTAGGTTGTTTCTAGCTTGTTTTACTTTTATGAACAGCTCTGTAAGTTTTTTGTTTGTTTTTGAGAAAAAGTCTCATTATGTAATTCAGGCCTGCTTTAAACTATGTAGTACCTGCTGGCCTTGAACTCATAGCAATCCTCCTGCCTTAGCATCCTGAGAATTGGGATTATAGGCATGCGCCACCACATCTGGTCTAAGCATTCTTATATATATATTTTTTATTTTTCAAGCACACATATGTAAGATAAATCCTTAGAAGTGGAGCTGTCAGTTTAAGATGTGTGAATTTTAAATTTTGGTAATTTCATCAAACTGTCTTTGTAAAAATGGCTGCACCAATGGGGTATGATGGCGCATGCCTGTAATCCCACCATTTGGAAGGTTTAGGCAGGAAGATCCTTGGGAATTCAAGCCAGCATGAACTACACAGCAAGATTATCTCAAAACATTTCCCAAAATAAATAAATGGCTGCCGCAACCTAGATCCTCAATAAAATATGGGTTGTTTCCTCATACCCTTGCTAGGTATAATAGCCTGTGAAATCTTTTTTCCTTTTTTTTTTTGTCTTTTTCCTTTTTATCAGTACCGGGGATCGAACTCACAACCGCCTGCTTGCAAGGCAGGTGCTTATGCCACCGAGCTAAATTCCCAGCCCTTAGCCTGTGAAATCTTAAACACAGGTTTCTTCACCTGGGCATGGTGGCACACTCCTGTAATCCTAGCAGTCTGGGAGGCTGATGCAGGCTATTGCAAGTTCAATTCCAGCCTGGCAAACAATGAGAACTTGTCTCAAAATAAAATAAAAAGGGCTGAAGGGCTGCTGGCTTTTGAACCCGGTTCTGTAAGGTGTGTGGGTGCCATGTCCAGCCTTGAAAGTGGCAAGAAGCCCCTGAAGCAGCCCAAGAAACAGGCCAAGTAGATAGATGAGGAAGGTAGAGCATTCAAACAGAAGCAAAGAGTCGAGCAGAAGAGACTTGAAAACAAAGGCTGAGGGAAAGGGCCCCCTGGCCACAGGTGGAATTAAGAAACTGGCAAAAATAAACTGTTACTTGTGCCTAAGATGATGCTGAGCCTGAATTTCCTACCATAACATCTTTTGATACCTATAACTAGATTGAAGTGTGTTCGTGGAGTCTGTTATACATTTATAAATAAAATTTTGTAAAAAAAAAAAAAAAAAGTTGAGGGTGTACCTCAGTCTAAAGGCTGAGTTCAATCCACAGTACCACGAAGTGTGTATATGTGGGTGTTTGATACAGGGTCTCGGTATGTAGCTCAGGTTTGCCTGTAACTTGACACTCCTGCCTCAGCCTCCTAAGTACTGGGATTACAGGCATGTGCCACTATGCCATGTTGTTCTTGCCGTTTTCTGAAGCAGTTCCTTAAGTCCTTTTTTGTCTTTTTATGAGGTGATTAAAAACATGGTGAATGCTGTTGCCATGTATCATCCAACAGAAGATATAAAAACAAGCATTTTTCCTCTTCTGCCTTATTCACTGGATCTGGCACTTTGCAACTTTTGGCTCTTCCCAAACATTTAACTGACCATTAGGGTTTAATGTTTTGAATCAATTCAGAATAGAGAGGCAGTCATAAGAGTACAACTAAAGATATGACGGGAAACTTCTAGACCTGCTCTAGACTGCAGCAAGGATAAGATAGTTGTGTTTGAAGAGGAGGCGAGTATTGTGAGGGGGAATGGCAGTGGGTCTTTTACTATAATAAATTTTTAAAATAATGTGAAAGTCACTGTATTTTTTCTTTTTTGAGACAGTGTCTCTATGCAGTTCAGGCTGGCCTTGAACTCACTGTGTAGCCCAGGCCGGTTTCGAACACACAACGATCCTCCTGCCTCAGCCTCCCGAGTGTTGGGGTTACAGGCATGAGCCACCACGCCTGGCTTGTCACTGTATTTTTTTAACATGCCATGTATATCTGCAGCAATCCTATCAATGCTTCTTATTTAATAATTTTATTTATTTTGGACATAGGATATCTGGGTGTGGTGGTACATTCCTGCAATCCCCACTCAGGAGGCTGAGGCAGGATTATTGCTGGGAGTTTAAGGCTAACCTGTGCTACAAACTAAGTTCAAGGCCAGCCTGAACCGCATAGAGAAACTCTGTCTCAAAAAGACAGGAGAAAAAAACCAACCAACCAACCAACATTTGGACACAGGGTCACACTATGTAGTCCACACTGGCTTTGAACTCACTATTTAAAAGATTAGCCCCAAACTCACTATCTTTTTTGCCTCAGCCTCCTCAGTGCTGGGGTAATATTCATTTGCCATACTGGAGATTGAATGAATGGTGCTCTACTACAGTACTGAGCTCTATTTCCCATGTATGTGTGCAAATATACACACACAATTTTTTTTTTTGGTGGCGGTGGTACTAAGAATTGAACCCATGGCCTTTATACTGAGTTACCTCTCCAGCCCTTTTAAAATTGAGAGAATCTATAGTCACTCAGGCTGGGCTTGAACTTGTGATTTTTTTGCTTCAGCCTCCCAGAGTCCTTTTAATTTTTCTTGACAGATCTCCCTAAATTACTCAGACTAGATGCCAAATTGTGATCCTCCTGCCTCCAGTTTTTCTGGCAGCTAGGATTACAGAAGAAAGCCACCTTACCTAGTTTGTTCATGTATTTTTTCTTCAAGACTAGGTCTTGTTATGTAGCCCAGGCTGGCCTTAGCCTCCTGAGTGCTTGAATTACAGGCACAAAGCACCATACTTGGCTTTTTTTTTTGGTACCGGGAATCCCAAATCACAACTGTGCACTTGCAAGGCAGGCACTTATGCCGCTGAGCTAAATCCCCAGCCCTTTGTTGTTTTTTGAGACAGGGTCTCAATATGTAGTACACACTGGCTTTGAACTCAGGTGTCCTGGAAGTCAAGGTGCTACTTCTGCCTCAATCTTCTAAGTGCTGGGACTACAGGTATGTACCACTATGCCCAGTTTTTATCATTTTTTTTTTTTTTTTAAAGCAAAAGGCTAAACTGGGATGGTGGCACATGCCTGTAATCTTAGAATTTGGGAGGCTGAAGTAAAAAAAAGGGCTTGGGATGTTCTGTGGCAGTTCTAACTCCCATACCATTTAAAAGAAAAAAACAAAGCTTAGGTTGATGCTAATAGCCCACAAATATATCAGTACCCACCACATTCACTGGTACCTGACGAACTTAATTCATTTCACAATTCTGAAAAAAGATGGCCACACTTGTGTTCATGTAGGAAAGATGGCCACTGCTGTGTTCACCACCCGAAGTGTTCTTGAACAAAGGTACCCCTCTCATTAGTATTATCATACGAGAAATACTCAAAGTCTCCTAAAAACAAGAACACCTGCCAGATACACCTCCTATAATCCCAGCACTTGGGAAACTGAGACAGGGGACTGCCACAAATTTGAGGCCAGCCTGGACTACACAGTGACATTGTTTAATAAAAAACAAACCAAAACAACCTTGCTCCTGTAAGAATGGGAAGCAGATACAATAAATGCCAGTATTTATTAGATGGAATGAGACTGCTCTCACCTGCTTTGAGTATAAGGCTGTTTCTTGCCCCTTGCCAATGTTTTTTTCTTTTTGGTGGTACTAGGGATTGAACCCAGGGCCTTCCCATGAAGCTGTATCCCTAATCCCCACCTTCTCTTTATTTTTTAGGAGACAAGCTCTAAATTGCCCAGGATAGGTTCAAACTTGTGATTCTTCTGTTTCCTACGAGTTGTGGGATTATAAGTAGGCACCACTACTCTCATCACCCCTTCACCCCCCGCCGCCTTTTGAACCAAGAGACAGGAGAGCTGGGAGGTAGTTTAGGAACATAAAGGTAGAAAGGTCAAACTGAAGGATGGATGAGGGATAAAAGATAGGTTACCTGTTAACTATCTTCTTAAGTCTCACAGCCCTTTGCAAACTCTGCAAGAAAAGGAATTCTATTGATCTACCTTGATCTCCAGAGCTCCCCTAGCAGCACCCTTGTCCCAGTGGAAGTCTCTAGACCTCTTTTCAAAGGACATAATCAATATCCTAGGGAGGAAGGGAAGGTTAACATTTTTTAGCATGGAAAAAGCAAGCCTGCAGGAGTTGGGGTGGAACACATATGCCGGATATAGACTACAGCTCCCAAATTGTGCTGTTACAGCAACAAAACACACTTCTGATAAACTGACTTGGAAATCTCAAAGGAAGCAAACTCAGCCCATTCCCTCCCTCTACCGATGCATACCTCTTCTACTTTTGTCATCCTTTCCATAGACATGTCTACAGCCCTGCTTGATAAGGAGCCTGGGCAGGTTCTCTTTTATGTTTAGTTCAGTCACCTAGGCTTCAGTAGCTATAGTGATATTCAGGCATCAAACAATGACCCCATGTCTAACAACTGATTGGTCACCTGGTCTGTTGCCCTGGAGACCTGAAGAGAATCTTGGTTCTCTGGGCTTCTCTAAGTGATACAGGCAAATCTGGGAGCAAGGGTCACAGTCTGTGTTTCAAGATTGCTTCACTTAGGGTCCTAGAGACTATCAGATTACAGGTCAAGCAACATATAATCCGAACTCCCTGGAGATAAAGCCTCGTTTCTATACCGGTGATGATGAACCTTTGTGTGCTTTCATTAATATAGAGTCTACTGTGGCAAGCATGCCATAGGACCACCACTGCTCTACACCTTGCTGTTAAGTACAGAAAATATATTGTATCATATACCTGTTTTACTGAAAGCGAATCATATGCTTTTTTGACAGTTCGTTTTATTAAATAATTTATGAAGTCAAACCAGTCCATTGGCTAATTAGTGATAACCATGCCTTCACACTGACTCCTATCATGGCACAGATTAGGCTGGTACTATTATTTTTTGAGACAGGCTTTTATTATATAGAGTTCGGGCTGGTCTTGAACTTACAGTGATCTTTCTGCCTCAGCCTCCTGAGTGTGGGGATTATAGGTATTGTGCCACCATGCCTGGTCTATGCCAGGTATCAGAACATACTTATTCACAAGGAAATTGAACTAAGGGGCTCAGTAACACAGTGCCTGCCGGCAAGTGTGAAGTCATAAGTTTAATTCCTGGTACAAAACAACAAAAAACCAAACCAAACCAACAAAACAACTAAAGTAGGAGGGCAGATCCCTGCTCATCAGGAAAACTGTGTCAATTTTCCAACACATCCTGCTTTACAGTAGAGTACCAGGGTAAGCCGTTCCACAAACCACTTACTCCCTCACCGCCTCTCCCCACCAGTTTGTTTTGAAGCCACATTTTTGTGTGTGTAGCTGAAACTGGCCTTGAGTTTGCTATGTAGATAAGGGTGCCCTTGAACTCAAAATCCTCATGCCTCCAGACTCCTGATGGCTGGGATCAAAGGCGTGAGTCAACTGTACCTGGCATACTACCTGCTTTCACCACCAGCCAAGAACTCTACAACACTCTAAACCCAATAGTTCTCATTCAATTAAGTACAACAGGGAAGAAACAGAAGATATCTCACCTCAACTCTCACTTCTGAGATTAAAGAGCCTGAAAAAGCTCTGGTCAAAAATAAGTGAAACATTTTAAGGAAGATCTGACAAAAACCCAGTATGAATAACATGAATTCAAATGCAGAAAAAAGTGCTACTGTGGGAAATAAAGTTTTAACTAATTCTTGAAAATGCCTGTAAGAAAGGGTCAGTAATAATCTTTCAAGTACAGGGCTTTAGCTGCTGAGTCAGATGGCCCAAATGCACCCTGTAAGCAAGCTGTCTTGCAAACAGCAACTGTCCAGCTCAGTATGCAGTAAAAGTCCTTCGGCCCCATCACAGAGTACTTTCCAGTGTGTTATAGTTGTCCTTAAAGCTTTTCAATTCCAGGAAGTGCTTGGCACGCTTGCTCTTCTGGCTGGAGGGGAGATATGTTACTTGGATGGTTGTAGGGGAGACTTCAGGAGATTGAGTTAGGTCTTTGGCTGCTGACTGATGCTGTCGCTGTGAGGTGCCAATTCGTGCTTTGACCCTAAAAAACAGACACGGGAGGTTATGGATACAGTAAGAACTAACATTAGAATTCCAGGTGTATCTTAGTCCATAAACACTGCCACAATGGTCCTGTTTAAAGTTACTGAAGTGTTATCTGACAGCACAGAAATAGCAGGGAAACATTTTCCACTGAGTTCTTGTCTCTGGCACAAGTTTTCCTTCGTTATACTATGGTTAAAGAAAACTTTTAACTCCATCAATTCACCTACTATGTTTAAGGAGCTAACAACTTGCAGTCCAAAGTGAGTCCTCTGAAAACTAAATACCAAAAAATAGCGTTAGGACATTATGCTTAGTTTACTAGTAAGTAATTTACCAACATTCCCAGTGTCCCCTATGTTATATTATCACTTGATTTTGCAGGACAGACTTATGGAGTCACAAAAGTAGCAAGTGACAGACTAGGGACTTAAACTCAACTATGTCAGATTTCAAAGTCAATACTCTTTCACTATACCCATTGAACATTCCCCACTGAAACTAAAAAACTAGCTGGACATGGTAGTACATACTATAATTCCAGCACTCGGGAGGCTGAGGCAGAAGGATGACTGCAAGTTTGTGGCCAGCTAACCTACATAGCAAGTTCGAGGAAAACCTGAACTAGAGAGAGATCCTGTCTCAATTAAAAAAAAATTAAAAATGGTATTGGAAAATGAATTCAGGGTCTTACATATGCTATACTAGTCCTTTACCATTGAACTACATCACCAGTCCTTTCTATTTTTATTTAGAGACACAGAATAAGTGCCCCAGGTTTGTCTCAAATGCATAATACCCTTGCCTCAATCTATTGAGTGGCTGCAATTACAAGTGCTGCACCACTACATCCAGAGAAGGATATGCATTTATTTATTTAGGTCTCCTAAAACAGGCGCTTGCTATATAGCCCAGGCTGATCTTTAACTCATGGAAATCCTCCTGCCTCAGCCTGAGTGCTGGGATTACAGGCGTGTACCACCATGCCCTGATCCAGAGAAAGTTCTTTTTCAAGAAAGTAGTAAAATTTACATGATACAGTATTTATCATCTTAACCATTTAAAAATTTATACATCAGAGATGGGTGTGCTGGCATAAACGTGTAATCTCAGCACTCAAGAGGATGAAGTTGAAGGCCAGCCTGCATTACAGAAGATCCTGTCTCAAAAAAAAAATCTACATTAGCAGCATTAAGCAGTCACTCTTGTGTAAGCAACCTCCAGAATGTTGGAGTTACTGGCACGGGCCACCATACTTGGCTTGGTTAGGACCTTTTGTCTTTGATAGTTTATTTGCAGTGCCAAAGAGAAGACAGGAAAGATATATTCCTGGGTCACCTGAGACAGAGCCATGATGAACATAGCAGAAAACAGATACATGCTTTTCATGGGTGATAACTTTTATTTTTCTTGAGACAGGATTTTGCTATGCAGTTTAGGCTCGAACCTATGATCTTTCTGCCTCAGCCTCCCAGAGTGTGAAGATCACAGGTGTGTGCCATCATAGCTGGCACATGTGATAACGTGGGCCAGAGATAGTTCTAATAGGCTAACTGGTAACTCTTACGATACTCTGGGTTTTGTTTATACTGCTTTTGAAAGGTCATTTAAATGTGAGACAGTGTACTACTTGTAAATTTTTTAAGCAGCCCCTCTGACATGTTCCCCTTCAAACTTACACGGTAGCCAGCTCACTCAAGGCCTCCTGATAGCGTAGGTACTCACTCTGGCCAAAGACCTTAGGAAAGAGAAAGAGTCTGAGTCACAGGCTGGCGCATCCTGTTTAGATCCTGAAGGAAATTCTGGCCATTCAACTTACCCCTGTTCCGTAGCGGGCTGTCTCATAGCCATCCAGGAGGGTATCAATGAGGGCCTTGCGAACACCCTTGAAAGGAGTGCTAGTGTTTCGCAGATCTAGCAAGTAGGAGCGGAAATTCTTGCCCATTAAGGAACAAGGATGCCGGCCTTCAGCATGAAATGGGATCTCTAAGGAGATAACGGCACAATGAAACTTTTCCCAGTTTTCAGTCTTCCTAGTTAATTTCCGAACTTAGACATAGATCTAATGAAACCAGTTGGAGACAAATTCTTACACAATTACGAAGACCAGGGGGTATACAGCTGTGCCTGAGCGGTCACACAAATGTAAGCTATGCCAATGGCACAAGATATCATCAGCATCCTTCCTACCCATCCCAGGTTTAAGACAGAAATTGCGTTTTGGTAGAGACAAAGCATACTTGAAAAGTGGTCATGGAATGGGAAAAAACACAAGAACAGTCTGTTTTGAGCTTAAAGAAAAAGCAGAGAAAGTAAATTACTCTCATCAAAGCAAAGAAAGTAAATTACTGTTATCTAATTTGTGAAACTAAACGTCTGAAGAGCCTTAAAAATCAGAAACAACCCCTCCCCCACACTCTTTGGGAAAGAAAGAATCTGCCTCCATTATCCCCTTAGGCAAAACCGTAACCCAGTACTCTCAAAACCCCAGGAAATTCCAGCTTGCCAGGGATGCACAATACCCTAACATACTAAGTAATGTCATCACTGTTCTTGAGGTGATTTTTTAGGATCCCAGGATGGACCCTCACCAGAGGCACGGATGGCATCCAGAGCTTTCATCCTGTACACATAGTTGTAGCAACCTGTTGAGAAAAAGTCTAGTCTGAGACATAATCTTCCAAAGATCTCCCAATCTCCTCCCTAACATGCTGCCTCCCTACAACTAGCATACATGCAGAAACTAAGGAATAAATGAGGTCTGTCAACAGCTACTGACAATTCTGAAAGTGAAGTAGTTCTGTACTTGTGGGTCTCCTCATGGAAGACTCCTCTAAGACTCCTCTTGCCACATACTTTGATTTCCCTGAGTTTCCAGCTGTAGCAGTCTTGCATCATCATCGGCAAGGAGCTGTGGTTCATACTTGATATCCTGAACCCTGGATAGTCGAATATCAATCTCCTCTTTCAAGTCCTGTGCACAAGGGAAAAGGATACACCATCATTTATCCTATTGCTGTATCCCACCAATCTAGAAATAGAGCACAGCATGTAAACAACTAAGACAAAGCTGAGAAAATCCTTATGTAGCTAATGAAGTTAACTGGCAAGACACTGGAGTTTAATAAGAATGGGTCTGGATTTTGGGGGTGTTGGGTTTTTAATAACCTCTCCAATGTATACATCACTGAGCTAGATTTTTTTTTTTTTGATGGCGGTCCTACGGATTGAACCCCAGCCCTTCCTTTGAGACACTATCACCTAGGCTTGGCTCAAATTTGTGATTATTCTGCCCAGCCTCCCAGAGTGCTGGGATTACAGGTGTGTGACACCATGCCCAGCTGTCAATCAGTATTTCCTTCACCCCAAAGTATCCTCTTATATTCTTACCCAGTCAACCTTCCTCCTAACCCCAGTTAAGATTTATTCGTGCACATAAGTGCACAAATTCACGTAAGTGCAATTCATATAATATACTCTGTGAATGACTGTCTCAATTTTTTCACTTGACTTACTTTTGAGATTTTTGTGACGTTTTCATCTGAAATATTTTGGAGGCTATCATTTCTGCTCATATATTTATTTGCACTTTTATACTCTGGAATATATCATTGTATTTCCATTTTAAAGTGGACTTTTGGATTAACAATTTTATTTTATTTTTTTGGTACTGGGGGTCGAACTTACGACCTAGCTCTTGCCAGGCTAAAAAGCATTATGATCAATGCTACTGTACTCCTATACATGTATCACATTATACACAGGCAAAAAGTAACTTCTTCTTTGTGGTACTGGGGATCGAACAGACATAGGATCTTACAAATGCTAGGCAAATGTTCTAACATTGAGTCACACCTCCAGCCCAAGTGCCAGCATTCTCTTTTTTTGAGACAATCTCACTTCTTAGTATTCACTATATTGGGCCTTGCTCCCACTATATAGTCCAGCTGGCCTCAAACTCAGGACAATCCTCCCACCTCAGCCTCCTGAAGGTTGGAATTATAGGCATGCATCATTTTACCTCACATGCTTGCATTTTTTTTTTTTTATCGGTACCAGGGATCGAACTCACGACTGCCTGCTTGCAAGGCAGGCGCGTATGCCGCTGAGCTAAATCCCCAGGCCATGCATTTTTTTTTTTTAAATTAAGAGTTCTATGAGAAAACAGACCTAAGCAAAGCTCTAAAGAATGAATGAACTAGCTATATGAAGATGAGACCAAGTCACAGTAATACAAAGGTGCAAAATTCAATCAGTAGTGGTGCTTCTTAGCAACTGGGTGAAACCCATATAAAAGTTGACAAAGGCAGCAGGTGTCTTTAACTGAGAAGTCAAAGACTAAAAGATGAAGAAACGGGGTAGGGCTGCAGGAGAAATCTAAGTGGAAATGTCAGTTAGGCAGTTAAATATGTAAGTAGAGAATGCAGGAAAAAGGCTTGCAATAATATTTCATCTGCAGGAATTGACAGTCAAAGAAAGGAAGCCGGTCTAAAGACAGTGTAATCAAATGTAAGAGACTATTAGCTTCTTTACTTTTTATATGTTCTCCTTCCTTTTTTAATGCTTGTTTGTAACATGATAGCAGAACTATAGTGTTAATCAGGCCCTTAAATGAGTGTAAATTCTTCAAAAACAACTCTTCTTTGTTGCTCTTGGGCTAATTGTAACCACTTCCAACCTCATCCTAATAAAGGAAAAAAAAAACACTGAATAAGATGGATTGGGAAGCATTTTACAGCAGAATTGGTAACATCAATCCAAGTCATTTACTCAGCAGATGAAAAATTGGGTTCTTGGATAAGCTACCTCCTGTGACACAGCAGGCAGCAGGTAAACCAAGTCTCAAGGCTGACAATTACTGCTTAACTTACTAAGGAATGCACGAGGAAAACTAGCCACAGAAACACGTGAGTCAGTCATTCCTACAAGGCAAAAGAAATCTCACTGCTGTACTTAAAAAGATCTGGAGAACCAGATATATGTCATGCCTTTATCTCATGCTCTAAGGACCTACCTTGGGGGCATTGTGTCCCACAGGGACATGAGGTCCCCTTCTAGATTTCATTGCAAATCGCATTATTTGCCTCTTCACAAAAATAAACAGCAGTACAAATACCTGTCCGAAGAGATATGAGAACTTTTACTTTAAAAAGTTTTATAAAAATGTATGACTTCATTCAAAGTTTCCGACTCAGAAGGACGGAGGCTTGGGGTAAAACAGCACAGCAACGCCGTCAAAGATGGGGCTGCATTTCGGGAACCAGGACCAGCAGGCGGGGGAGGGGTGAGGGTAGGGGTGTCCAGGCCCTAGAGTCTGGAGCCAGGGTTCTCCCCGGGGGCGGGGCTGCTGGGTCTGTGAATGAGCTCCCAGGTGCTCCTGGGACAGGTGGCCAAAATCCCAGAAAAAGCGCAGGTGAGTGGGTGGGGAATGAAGGCAGGGAGCGGCTCAAGAGGAGGGTCTCGACTGGGTCACACGCGACAAGAAGAAAGGGTTTGGGGAATCTCCTCACCAGGCTCCCGTAGGCCATCACCAGCACGACATTCACACCGGACAGCCAGTTACTGCTGGACGCCATGACCTCCTTCCAAGGCAGAATTGCTCGGATTTCTCGCTGCTCCGCCTCCTCAGCCCAGGCGCCGCCGAATGAACGGCGCCCGGGCTTCCTTGAGCTCTCTGGCCATTTCCTTATGGGGGAATACCAAGTCAGACCCGGCCTGAAAACATGGCGGATGGGGCGCTAGGAAAGGAGAGAAGGATGCCTTCCCGCTTCCCCCCGACACGTGACTCGGCGGGCAAGGGCACCTGGGAGCAGCGAGCACCAAAACGCGGAACTACGCCTGTAAGAGGAAGCAGAGACCCTGTGTGCGTCATGCCGTGGAGGCGGAGACGCCGTGGGGGGGGCGGGGCGACGCTCCAAGTCAGAGCTCGGTGTTTCGTGGCGTCAAGACGCGCGCACGTTGGCGTGCGCGTCCCTTTTTGCGTCACGTGTTGGGGCGACGCAGGAAGGCAAGTGGGAGGGGGAAGGCGCGAGAGCGAGCGCGAGAGGGAAAAGGAGGGAGGGGGCGGGGAGGAGGGAATCTTATATCACGTGACAGGGGCGGCGCGGCCCGGGGTGTCAGTGTGGAGGAGACTGAGGTAAAGTTGGGAGCGCAGCGGCGTTGGCGGCGGCGGCGGCAGCGGCAGCGCGGCGGGGCCGGGTATTGTCCGCGGCCCCTTTAAATCCGCGATCCTCCCTTTGCCCTCCCTTCTTTCTCCCCTACCCTCGCTGTACCCCCTCCCTCGCTGGGCCCCCCGCGTCGTGTGTCCGCCACTGTACACCCCCCTCTAGTGCGAACCCTGCCCCCCCAGTCGGCGGCAGGAGGTTTTGTTTATGGTTGGGTTCGCGGCCTAGTGGGCCGCGCCAGAGCCGGGGCCTCGATTTGGGAGCGTGGCCGGGGCGGGGCTTGGGGCAGCCGGAGGGGGGGCCATGCGGCTGTAGCCCGAAGGGGGAGAGCGAGAAAGCGCGCGGGCGAGCGCGGCCTGGGCCCTGCCAGAGGTAGGGCGCTCTCAGCCGTGGCCAGTGCCCGCGGAGAAGAGGGCCTCCTCCCTGCCCAGCCCTCTGCGGGCCGCCTCGGATCCAGATCCGGCCTGGTTTGGGGGTGGCTATGGGGGGGGGTGGCGATGGGGTGGAGCGGCCCAAACTCCCCCATGTGGCCCTCAGTTTGAGTGCGGAGGATTAATTTGTTCCGGGTGGGAGGTAGGGAGGCGATTGGCCCCGTGGGCTCTTGATGTGGCGAGGTGTGTGTGGGGGGTGAGCCTCCCCTCCTCCACGCGTGGGCTTGCGTCCCGTCTTCGTTTCCAGCCTCTTTGTCAGCTTCTCTTACTATCCTTCTTTCTTGCCGACCCACCTCACAGGATACATTTTTGTTGCTGTCTTTAGCTTCCTGTTGTTTATACAGTAGTTTGGGGTACCACAATTATGTTATTTGGGAAGCTGGACTTGGAGGGCCCCAAGGGTTAGTATTGCGCTTAAGGGATGTCACTAAATCACTGGCGTATTTGTTCACTTTTCTCATAATGGGACAGAAATTCCGTATTTCTTCAGACCCTTCACCTTGTGGACAGACTCCCTACGTGGCTTTGCAAACTGGTGTCATAAACAGCAGACTGCTCCTTTTCCACGATTCTTGAAATGTAGCCACTTCTGGTCTAAGGTGTTATTGGAAAGAAAAATATCACAGTAGCAGGCATTTTTCTTGTTATTGTTAACGTTTTTGCCTTTGACTCATCGTGTTATTAAATGGAGAAATCCTTTTTTTGTCTCTCCCTGTCCGTCTTCCACCCCGTGTCCTGCTTTGGGGTTATCTAATGTGATTTGCTGGGAGGTGATGGGTATCAGTTACAACCAATATTATTAGAGAATTAAAACATTTTGACTATGTATCAGTTGATAAAACTGCTTTGAGATCATACACTATTGTCCTTTAAGATTAGACTGTTTCCGTTGTGAATGAGAAGTATTGCTGGCATGTAAACTAGTGATGAAAGGCCTAAAAATGTACTGTTGTGTTTTTTATTTTTAACGCCCCTCCTTGCTAAATGTGTCCTAACTGGAAAGTACCCTTAATAGATTCAAGGTGGTGGGGAAAGGGACACTGAGGTCATATTAAACAAAGCATCTATGGTAATACTTGCTCTGTTAGATATAGCAGGTCTTACCTATCCCAGTCCAGCTTCAGAGTTTCTGAATTGTGTCTCAAATTAGATTGTAAGCTCCCTGAGGGCAGCAACCAAGCCATAATACTTTTGTATTTTCTGAAGTATTGGACACATAGTAGATACTCAATAAATACTTGTTGTATATCTTTTTCAGTAAATTTTCTCTGGCTATTTTTTTAAGTAGCTGGTTTTCAGAATATAATCAAGGACACTCCTGTGTTAAATCTTGTATATGTTCCTACACTGTTTCCTTGGTCTCCAATACTTCTCATCTTCCTTCCCTTAAATATTTTAATTTCATAAAAAAGTAACAAGATTCTCCTCCCCCATCGTGATAACTGAAAACTTGTCCCTGTTTGTTACTAAAAAGCTAGTAATTCTTTGCCTTTGAGTTAACCGTCCCCAATCACTTAGTTTTGACCTGTTGCTCAGTGTTGTAACCTAGGTGGTAAAATTCTCTTAGTCGTGCCTTTGAAAGCACCTGTAAGAGGGTATTGGGAGTTAATAACAAAAATGATCAGGATTTTTTTTTTTTCTTACCTTTTTGTCTTTCAAAGATAACTTTCTAATAGCAGTCTCGTAAAATATGTGCAGTGGGCTATCATCTGGTTTCTGTAGTGTTTGTTTGCAAAATAACTAATATTGTAAGTTAATTTTACAAATGCCTGAAAATCCGCCAGTATTTGTGAAATTACAGGAGTGGGTTGGAAGTGACTACTTTGTATTTAAAATGTTATCTTTTGAGTCAGTTTTAAAACATAACAGTTTTACTCTAGTCTCCTTTTTTTTTTTTTTTTTCCTCCTCTCGATTTGGATGCAGGGGCCCACGGTTAAACAATACAGTACTTCTTTTTTTTTTTTTCCAGTGTTGAGACAAGGTTTCACTGTGCAGTTCAGGATGGCCTTGAACTCACTTTGTAGCCCAGGCAGGCCTCAAACTTGAAGCAGTCCTTCTGCCTCAGTCTCCTAAGTGTTGGGATTTCAGATTTGCACTACCACCAGTCCTGTTTGTTTTTTGAGACAGGGTCTCTCTGTGTAGTGCGGGCTAATCTTGAACTCACTTACGTAGCCCAGGCTACATTGAACTCACTTACGTAGCCCAGGCTACATTGAACTAATGAGAATTCTGCCTCATGCATCCGAAGTGCTGGGATTATAGGTGCACACAGCTGCAATTGTCCAATAGGACTTGGTTTTTTGTAAAATGTTAAAACTTGACTGTAATGGCAGCCTGGGAAAATGGACTACTATGTAGTGAATAATCTTATAGTTGCTTGGACTATTTACAGGCATTTGCTTGTACATGTATGTCGTGATAGAAGTAATGGTTAAAAGTTAGTGAAAGCTGCTTTAAAGTCTTTCTTGGTGATAGGGCATGTGGAATTCTTAATGCTTAATGACCACATCAAAAGACAAAGACCAGTGCAACCTATTGACACATCTTGGTGAAGAATTTATCCACAGGGAAGTCACCTTGCGCTAACATTAAAGAAACAGGTGAAATTCATTTTCCTAATAGTTAATTGTTGTATATATTTTTCAAAGCCTTCCAACCTGAAAATCCAGCTACATCTTTTGGATAACCTAGAAGTATCCCCTTTAACCTTTTATTAATGAAAAAAATTAAACATGGAGCATAAAAGTATGAATTTATCACCTTTGGAAGGAGAGAAAACAATGCAAAGTAATGTCTTTTGTTTTTTTGGAGACAGAGTATCTCTTTGCACTTCAAGCTGGCCTTAAACTCACTGTGTAGCCCAGGCTGGCCTCAAACCTGTGGCAGTCCTGTGGTTGGCCTCCCAAATGCTGGGTTTACAAGCTTGCACCATCATACCAGGCCATAACTTGTTATTTTGAACAGTCTGTCATATGAATGATTTCTTTGTTTACTAAATGCAGCAGCTGAAATTGTACTATCAAACAGTATCAATGAAGGGACCTTGAATTCAGTTGGATCTTTGCTCAATAGAAATCTTAAAAAATGCATTTCTAGAAAGCCCTGTGTGTTGTTTCTTCAAAGACTCAACGTCATCTTGGATGGCATTAATGTCTCAGATTTAAAATGATTTTCTAGAAACCCTTCCAAATAAGATTTTGTGATAGATGCATTTGGTTTGGTACAAAGTTGGGATTTCCTGTATATTAAGGTGAGTGGTGGAGATAATTGCACTTTTGGTTATTTGAAAGTGTGGATGAGACCAACAGAAGTAAAAAAGCATTATGCTGGAATTACCATTAGAGAGTTGAAATTCTGTACAGTCACTTTCGCTACATGCCTACATTTGCTGTGAAAGGCTGTAGTTTAAGAAAACCTGTAGCATGCTGAGAGTGAAACTTGAGGGAGAAAAGAGGTTAGACTTGAACTTGCCTTTTCGTAAGTGGTGGAGGTCATGTGCAACTTACATAAAATAGTTGCAAGGCACATAAAGCTATTTTCTTAGGTAGATTGAATGTTTTTCTGTGATGCTGGGGATCAAAATCTTGCTAGGTAAGCATTTTACTACTGAGCATATTCCTAGCCTCCACTTTATCTTAAATTGTTACTTTTTTGGAGTATAGCTTAATCCCCTTCCTGGAAGACTTTGTTGTTTATCTTTCCTTTTGTCAAAGAGACTTCAGATACTTTCAGCTCTATAGAAGGCTTTGGTTATTAACATTGTTTTGTTTACTATCGGGATAATTTTAAGTGTTATAAAAGCTGCTTAAAGGGGACTAGTAACCAGATTACATGCCCCTGACTTTTTACAAAACGCCATCACTTACACATTGCTTCATACATTTTTATTTACAATGCTGGGGATCCAGTCCAGGGCTTTTTACATGCAAAGAATGAGTGTTGCCACTGAGCTGCATACCAGTGCTGTGCATTCTTGTATGAAAATGGATTAACAGCCAGTTTCTTAAGGAATTTATCAAAAGACATGTCAGAATAGGTAAATCTTCTTGGTTTGTTTCTTTGAAGAAATCAAATGTCCGTGAATGTGCAAAAAGAAAAGTTAAAAACATTTCACCTATATTTAACCCTAAACCTTTTTCTTTTAAATTTTCAGTATTCTACCTTGTAAATACTGTTATTTGTATATACTGTAAATGATGACATCGGTGGGCACTAACCGAGCCCGG